CCACAGTTTCCTTTGTTTCAAATGAAAACCTGGGGAAAAAAGATCATCCCTAAGACATTATTTGTGTTATTAGAAAGTTTCTTAGATTGTGGAACTGATTGAGTCAATGCAAGACACCTGGTCTCCCTATAGCAGAGCACAATTTGGCCTAAGCTTCTGCACAGTTGTAGGAAACAATTTTATTTTGTCTACTTGGAATCATGGTTTGAGTCTGTGAGAGAAAAGTTAATCACTCCCACTTTAGAAGTGAGAAAGAGCACAGGATCTAGTTCAGCTGCTACTAACTCAAGCACAGTGGTTGGGAAGTCATTTCTGGTGCTTATCCTAGAAAGTATCAGTTAGCTATCTGAGAAGCAAACAGAAGAAAAGGAATCATAGTATGTAGAAATGCTGATATGAGCTCACCTGCTTAGAACTGAGACTGAAATTGCAGCCTTCAGCTTGGTAGTGATAACTCTTATGGAAAAAAATGATGAGTGGAAAAAGAGACTTTTAGAGGTCTGCTGTCACGTTTTATAATGAAGCCAAGAAGACAAAAGTAGCAAAATACATACACAACCAGCTCAGACTTGCAGCTTTATGACTGTTAGTCTCCTGTTTAGATTCTGCTGGAACTAGCTCTACTCCTGCACCAGCCTGGTTGTACTGTGAACCTGGCAGGCAAGGGTTGAGAATAAAAACTGCAATGAATTGTGCTGACACAACATGTTTCCTCCAGAGAGGCTTTACACTGAGTAAGCGCGCTGTCTGCCCAACTTTACAGATGATTAAACAGAAATGCTGAGAAGTTAAATTACTACTTCAAAATCAGAGTAGGAACAATATTGGGAATTGATCCCAGGAATAAAACCCTAGCCACTAGCAAAGAACAGCAAAGAGTTCTTCAGCTGACATGAGAATTTCACTCTTTCAACTGTGCCTCTCGTTTTGCATATTGCTGGATGTTGCATTTTCTGCATCTAAACTGAATATGCAGGGCAGAATTATAACTAAACAGATATTTTGTCTCAAAAACATTTTGTGTTTAAGAGATTATTTTTCTTTTAAAAAAAAAAATAATAATAATAATAAGGGACACCAGGAAAACAATTGCAGACTTACAGAGGAAATTAATTGAGATATCTGTGATATAATGGCATAAAGTTCATATAAGGACATGTGACTTTGGGCCTTGTTTTCATTTCTGCATTTTAGTGGTTGTCTTGTTTCTTGCTTAATTTCTTAAATATATTGTTTAATAACTTAATTATGTAATGTATCACCTCCATTTCTAACTGTGTTAGCTGAAAACATGTTTTCTCAGCATGATGCAGTAAACATTAGAACAGATTGCACAATTTTGGTGCACAGTTTATCAAACACAGTTTGCAGCCAGACCCAATAGTCTGATCACCAACATTTGCTCTGTCCCTGGCTGCTTGTGTAACATGCCATAGGACACAAAGTCCCAGGGTATCACACACATTTATTCCCTATGAAAGAATAGTTAGTTGATGGTTCAGCAGTAGAAGGGATATTCCTCTCCTGACTAAGCAGGAGAGGCAGCCTCCCACATTATTCTTTTGCTCCTAGAACTTAGAAAACCTAAGCAAGAAAGACTCCACTAACTGCCTTCCTCACCAGCAATGATTTTATCTCCTACTTCTGTCAGGTGCAGGGAAAATGGCATCTTACACAGACTTCATTGCTCAAATTCCATTCTGAGCCCCAAGTTCTCCTCAGACCATACTGACTTCCAAACATAAGGGAAAATCTGGACAGCCGTTTAACAAAATGGAGTCAGGAGTCTAACAGTCCTCATGATGACAAGCAAAAACAAAAAGAAATTGACAAGGAGTTATAAGTTCCTCAGCATTCAAGAAAGACAGGTTGAGAGGTAGTACTGCAACCTGGCAGGAATTTTCATAAGATGTCTAAAGGTCCTCTCTCAGTATTCTTCTCTTTAAAAAGAATGTTTCCAAAGACTTCCACTGAGAGCTAGGCATCATTTAAACATCTAAACTTCTTGACTTTCAAATAATATCTGTCTCTGCTCACTTTTTGACCCTGCAGTCATCCATGCAAGGGAAAAAATGTTAAGAGATTCCAACCTTAACTGAGAGAGAAGATCTCAGCTTCAGAGCCTGCAGCATCTCCCAAATGCCAAGGAAAATGGAAAGAATTTAGGAGAGGGAAGAAAAAGAGAGCGAACACAAAGCAGTAACTATCAATTTTCACCTTCTAGCTTAAAGCTTTTCTCCACTTAAAACTTTTTCAAAAAATAACTCACTGACTTTAGACCTAGAAGTAAGCACTTTAAAATCAATGTGTTCACTGCATGTTAATTCTTTGTCTGCTTGAATAACAGAAGATCAGAAGACGTTAGACTTTACCTCCACAGCTTCACAGGTGAGGTGAGAATACTAGCAACACTGAGGAGACAAGTGGGAATGCAGAGAGAAAAAAAAATTATTATACATAAATATGCCTTGCACAAACACACATATTTCATATTTTTCTATATAGAGGTGGTTAAAATGAAAGGGGCCCTAAATGACAAGGATTTTTGTTAGAACCATTCTTCTGACAATGCTTTCTCTCCATTAAGATATCTGATATTATATATATATACACACACACATTAAACACATATGAGTTGCATGAACATAAGCAGGAACCTGTCTGAAAGATGTGCCTTTAAAGTGCAAACCTGCTATGCAGGGGAAAAGAGAAAAAAAAGTATCCACATTAAGAAAAATAACAGAGGACACACTTGTATCCATTTTGACAGAAAACTAGAGGTTAAGCTGTCTGGAAATTAAGGCTTCATCTGACATCTCTTATGCAAAGCATTCTGTTATAAAATTAAGCAATTCCACTGTAATACTTCTGGTTACAGAAACAATGCCTGCTGCTATTACATGGTCAATTATTATGTTGTCATTAAGTCCAGCAATGCGGTTTTTGGTTTCTAACCTCATCTAAGCTAACACTATCTGGAAAGTGAAAGAGGGAGTCAGTTTTCAGACAGTGAAGGCAGGAAGTTTATCATTTGCATAAAACAGCTTCTCAGAAATCAAAAGACAAAACATTTCTAGAGGAGCACAAGCAGAAAACTACTTTCTGCAGGCAACAAAGAATGCATTTGACATTCAGCTCCTGAGTGACGTGCTATCCATGCTACCGTGGAGGCTGTCAACTAATCAGTGCTAGTTGTCCTTAGAAAGGCTGCATGGAAAGCCATTCTGTGACTTTCTGATGACAGAAAAAGGCACAGATGAAAACGAAAAGACTGACTTTTCCCTACTTGCGTACGATGTTTTATTTTAAGCCCTATGTGTGAAATGGGGCTCTAAGTTTCATGTGCTCCTTTATCACATTTTAACATTATTAGATTGTATTTTGCTGTATTTTCTATGAATGCTCTTTCTTTGTTCTTTCACTGCTTCAACAGTTAGTATAGTTTAATTCTGCTGTATTTATTTCAGCAGACTGGATGATCTGATCATTCAGAATGGACATTTGCCCATAAAAGCGTAACCCATAGTGGTAGCACATTGCAAAATAAATTTTTGAATAAAGAATTTCCAAGCCTAATTAACTTTATGTCCTTAGCTGAATGTACAGCAGATGAGACAATATATATGAAAAAGGTACTATGTACATAAACAGAATTAAAGTATCCCTATCAAAAGTCAAAACAGCAATTTAGAATACCCTTTGAAAACAAATGTACTGTTATTTTTCTCCCTAGCCAAGTCTCTGCTATCCCCACTGCAACAACTAGCCAGAGAAAATTAAAATGCAAGGTATTCCTTAGAGCTAAGATAATTGACAGAATCTGCCCTTTAATAGAACACTAAAACAACTGTGCTTTTGAAAGGTGAACAATCCACTCAAACACATATTTGTTCAGGACTTGGAAAGAAGAATTCTCCAAAGGCTGTTGCCTTATCAGATCTGCTTGACCAGTAATGCCAACAGCTCTTAAAGTCAAGTAGAGCAGCACTCAAGTTCCACCTGAGCAGCCAGTGCTCAGTAATGGAGCAACCCACCATATCACAGGTCCATCACTGCAGAAATAAGTAGGAGTCAGCTCAGGAACTTACTGTGACAAACCACAGATGCCATCACAACTTTTTTATCTACTTTTTTATTCCAGGAAGGAATGGAAGGTGTTGCTGGAGATGAAATCACTAGCCATTCCAAAGTTTTCTCTTAATCTAGATAGATAATAAGATGTCTTGTAACCAACAAATCTTTAGAAGGCCTCTAACTCATCTGTTACCTAATAAAGTCATAAGCATGTCTTTAGATGTCTGCCTTCCTAATTTGAAGAAAGGGCTCACCACAGAGCAGATTGCCATCTCACTCTGAACAAAGGTGAAGGCATAATGAAATAAGGAATTCAAATTGTGAGAATATAGGAAGAACAAAGACAGAAAGTCAAGAAGAATTATACATATGAATTAACAGTATAAAGCCATGTCTAGAACCACACCACAACTGAGGTCTTGTTTGCACCAATACAGCAGCACAGGAAGGACAGTAGTTAGGACTTGATCCAAAGCCCACCAATGTCAATGGGCTGAGGATCAGATTCTTATTCAGCTCTTGGAGCTAATTCATCGATGAACTTAAAATAGTTTATATAGGCCTTGATATATCTATATATTTTAACGGTGTCAGAGCTTTGTCCAGCCAAGTCTTGAATACCTCCAAAGAGAGATTCCACAACCTCTCTAGTTCACTGTGTCAGTGCTTGACCAGCTTCACAGTGGAAAAAAATAAATCCCTGTATCTTACAAATATGGGAAGTGGCTTTTTTTCCCCATAAAACCACATTCAGACTTCAGAATGCAAAAGAATGGACACAGATAAGAAAAAGCCACATGTTAGGATGAACGAAAGTGAAGATAGGAAATCAAATTAGGTTTGCCTACATCAAGACAGACAAGGTGCTGAAGCCAACTGATTTTTGCATAAATGTGCTCATAGTATCTTGCTGAGAAGTCACTCACCTGATCTCGGGAATATGGAGTATCCACTATGTGTTTGTCTGAACACGCTGCTAGAAGAATCTTCATAGCATTTAGCTGAAGCAACATTTCACAAGCCATAGTATCAAAGAAAGTAATATTGGCAAGAGCTGCTGAAGCCAGCAGGAAAACTTCACCAGATGAGGCTTCTTGGCACAGTTCTAGGAATGCAGAGAATAAATTGAATAAAAATCATCCTCTCGCTGCAAAAACACATTTGTTTCAAAGCAGTATTTAACTGTCTGCAGTTTGCATTAGTAATCCTTAGCCAAGTTTGTAATGCTCAAGACAGAAGCAGAAACAAAACAAAATAAAAAAAAATGTTAAGTTGGAAATTATATACTACGTCACATTTTGAGGGTGCTTTATAAACTTTAATAACATTAGGCATCTTCGTTTGTGCTTCTGAACACTAAAAGCAATTGTTTCCTGAGCATTCATTTAAGTAATGAGAGTATCTACCTAGTATATCATTCTACAAAGAATATTCCACTGAATGTTGTTCAACACCTTGATATAAATGAGATGAAATACTACAGGCAGAAGGCTGACAGCAATTGATCCATAAGAGAATATTTCACCCATATATTCTGCTCTTTAGAACAAACTGCATACATTTTGCCCATCTCTAAGACTATTACTTTGTAGTCATCCTGCGTATTTTCCATTTTCGATAAGAAGTGCTGAATTCATGGTTATCTTTTAATTCCTTGCACACATATATTCTAAGTAAGATCTGAATCACCTGGCAATAACACTCCAGACTGTTTTAAAAATTAAACATATTACAGTAATTCGATTACTGAGCTATAAATATTGAAAGGACACTGGTGTGTGATTATTGAAACAGCTCTCCCAAAGTTACACATGGTTTATTTTTAATGCTCACATTTCCTGAGCAGAGTTTATATTACTAAAATTGAAGTGAAACTGGAGCACTGACAATCAGAGTTCTTCTCCTGCTAATCCCTTCTAGATGGCTTATTAAGGTCGTACTTTGACTATGGTGCACTGCAATAACTGCTAAATACATCTAAAGTCTGCTCAGATGCCTCTAGCAGTCTACTTACAGCAAATGTAGAAAACACAACAGCCATAAAGGAACAATTAGAAAAGTCCCTTTTAGAGACAAATATGAGACAGGAAGATCCTTGGTTCAGTTCATTTGGAGATTCTAATGGTAGCATAGCACATGGATATTATTTTCATAAATACGCATACATTTTACTCAAAAATGGACAGGAGTTGAAACTATTATGTAAGTGCAGAACACCCAGCTTCAGAATTAAAAAAATGGCTGAGTTCCTTAATCTGGAAAGCAGAGAATAGCAAACATTCTTTACAGAATGCGGTTAATGGCAGATCCCAGCCTTAAGCTGTAATTTTAGCTGGAAAGACTCAGAAGAACTTACTAACAAGCGCTGTTACAATTTCTTCCATATTTTCCAGAAAGCTGCTGAGATGTTGAGTGAATGTGAGATGTGGAGATGTGATCTGTGCAATTACTGCCGCTGCTTCTGCATGAGTGGCTTCTGAATGGGTGTTATCAGTAAGAATGTCAGCCAGGCACAGTATTCCATCGACCTATGGAAAAACAATAGGTAGAGGTTGGAAATACTCCAATAAATATTTTTGAAAACACAGAGGGGTTTTACAGTCATCTTTTCTGGGCTGTGGATTAACTACTCAGTTTATTTTGAATGACTTAAATTTGGTGGCACAAGAAGTTTCAATTCAGAAAATAAACTGAATTCAGCACAAAAATTTGCTGACCAACAAAAAGCCTTTTGTTTACTTCTCCTGTAATCACAGCATGGTTTGGGTCAGAAGAGACCTTTAAGACCATCTAAATCCAGCCCCTTGCTATAGGCATGGACACCTCCCTCTTGACCAAGCTGCTCAAAACCCCATCCAGCCTGGCCTTCAATGTCTCCAGGGAAGAGGTTGCTCAGCTTCCCTGGCCAACCCATTCCAATGTCTCACCACCTTCACAGTAAAGAATTTCTTCCTAATATCTAGTCTAAATCTTCCCTCTTCCAGTTTAAAGCTATTTTCCCTCATTCTGCTGACATTATTTTTGTCAAAAGAAAAAAGATATTATTCTCTGACAGAAGTCTCAATAAAGCACTCCTCCAAAAATGAGCCCTGATAAGCATATGTTAACTGCTGCTCTTCTCAGACTTGTTTAAAATCTTTTGAATGTATCCCATCAAGAGAGTTGAGCTCAAGTGTGCAAAAAGACATACATGGGCAGATTTTTTGCCAAATACTTTCTGAACATGTTGCAGGTTCAGAAAGTACCACTACAGACAGATCCATAAACCATGACAGATGAGTATGCGTGGGTTTTGTATTAGAGCTAGGTCCATTTATCCTTTGTTTATTCAGAAGAGGAACAGAAACACGGTTGAAAGTTACGTAGATTTATGCTTTTAGAATGTCTGATGTGTTCTAAACTCATTGTTTATGCAGATTAGCTGAATACATCACATATGTACACACTGCTCTGAATTACTGGAGATTCATTGACACAATGAAAGGGTGGACCAGAGTGGAGCCAACAAGATGCTTAAACTGCACAGATGTGTTACTTGTTAACATTTGAAGCCAGCAAAGGAAGGTCCTCTGTGTACAAGGAGACAATCTAAGAACTTACAAAGTAACAGGATTTTGCTTCTACCCCACTTTTACATGTTCCTGAATCATACATCATACTGTTCAAGCATGTGTAAAGGGAACAAATAGAGCATGAATGAGAGAATCACAGAATTACAGGAGTTGGAAGGGGACCTCTTGAGATCATCGAGTCCATCCCAAAAGATGCATGTAATATCAAATCTGCAGAAATTCACCAACGAAAATCTTTATATGGATGAACTATAGGGACAGTTTACAAACTTCATTGAGTATCTGTTTTAAAAACTGATCTTTTTACTTATTTGATGTTCTGAAAGAGCATGGAGTCAGATGCCTTATAAGCTACTTGGACTTCATAGATACCAGGAGAAATTATCAAGAACTTATCTCTGAAATACACTTTAACAGTCAAACAAAACAAAAAACTCATAAAGCATCTTACACATATTCTGACTTCATTCTCTGTCTATTCAAAGCTTCCTCAAAACATACATCTTAAGCCTTATTTTCTCCACAAAGTATATTTACCAAATTTCCAACTCATGTTTTTATTATATATTAATACATAATGTTGTATCCTGCAATGAGCATGAATTAAACTATTTTTTAAGCACAAACAATTAATATCAATTAATATATTTTACAAGAAAAGATCTCAGGTTGGTGGGAGCAAAAATCAGCCTCTGGAAGATCTCACTGGGATGCACTTTTTAATAGGCAGTTGACTATATCATTGGAACTCTAAAACAGATAAATAAAAAAGAAATCTATTTTTTCTTGTAGATTACAAATGGTTTTCAGTAGAGAACCTGAAGCACTGGCAAGAAGAGAAAGAATAAATTTTCGACATTAAACTTTTCCTTGACAAGCTTTCAACATTAATCTACCTATAGCAAAATATTTCCTCCTAGTTATGGCAGAATTCTACAGTTTGAAACAGCAGATTCACATCATTCTCCTGGCTTCACAGTATATTAATAGATCTCAGTGTCAAGAATTAATATATGTCCTCACAAGATGATTCAGTAGCCAATGTGTGCTAGACAATATCATATGCAAAAACACCCAATTTTGTCGCCTTGAAACTTCCCCAGGTCACACCTTGTCTGGGGCCTGAAGGATACTAACAACAACAGTCAGTATGAAAATTTAAAGAGATTCCAAGGCAATAAAAATATATATATATATTTCAGAAGAAGCTACTTATAAGATTTGGTAACAGGATAAAGCACTACTTAGCCCCAAATTTACTGGTTGAAATTCACTTGGCCAACTTTTTTTCAATGACTTCAGCAAAATGACCTTAGAGTAGTTTCATGCTGTTTGAGAACAAGTACTGGCTTCTGAAAGAAGTACAGCACAGGGTTGGATTTTTCCAACAGCACTGATTGCTTATATATACACTACAAAACACAAGCCACCAAGAAAACAAGGTCTGTATTCAACTTTTAAATTACATATCTGATTTTTTATATTTACTAAGTAATTGTGTTTGGAAGTGGGAAGTTGCTTAATCGTAAATATAAGTGGATTTATTATTTTCTTAATAATAAATAAAGAATTTATTTCTTAAATCCATAAAAGCCAGCACTGGTTAAGTTTCCTCCTTTCAATTCAAAATATTATAAAAAAAAACTTACAAATTCTGCCTAAAATACGTTCTGTACCCTTTTGGCTCCCACCTTAACTACAGAAGTTAAAATAAAATAATTCTGCCCTAGCAGGCAACCCCATTTATAAGTGTCTAGCAATAAATTTTAAAATGACAGGGGAACAATCTAATAAAAGCACTTTAACATCCAAAAAGAAATTGCTGCTCAAAGCATTTTTATAATTAGCTTTCACACTGAAAGGAACTTTGGATGACTTCCCTGTTTTCCTTTTAATTTTGGTGGAGTAATCAGCTAAATGTCAAATCTGTTCATCACCCTGGCAATACAAAAGGACCAGTTAGCCAGATAACGCAAACAAATGAATTCCATGAATGCAGTAAGATGCTGTGGAGACCCTGCATTTGAGGAATGGTGTTCAGTAAATGCTTGATCACTAAAGTTTCAAAATTGATAAATGGAAAAATGCCAGGAACTTATATCCTTATAAGCATTGCTCTGTTACATAAACTTCATCCAAGTGACAAAAATAAATACTTGACCACTTTACTGCATAGATAAAGTCTTCTGAAAGGAAATCATTTATTTTCTCTGCAACAGGAACGAATTCTAGGGCAGCCCTCTTCCTTCTTAGGAAGCACACCTGTTCCTTCTCCTGAAAATTAAGTAAAGCTAGACATCTGTAAACATGCTTGAACTGTCTTGAGTTAAATGCTGGCAATTCATAAAAATGTCAATACAGAACTTGCAATGAATTGCATTATTGGCTTTCCAGTTTGAAATATTACACTCAAGACAAGTATTAACTCTCTGCTTTCCACAATGAGGCAAACTTGAGCCTGTGATCAGATGTTCTGCAAAGTGCTCTGCAGATAAAAACTGCCTTTGCTCCACTGAGAAATATGCTGATTTATACCAGATGAAGTTATATTCACCTATTTTTAAAGTGTGATGATATATCAGTAGAGTGATGCCATTAAAATGTCCAGAAATGTGATTTCAAGTAATCAAGGCTACTGCAGAAATTCCAAGGCAACAGCATTGAGCAATGAAGAAAACACAACGGATTTTTGTAATGATTGTTGTACAGGGGCCATGGGACCTTACAAATATAAGCCCTTCTTTCATACTCAACAGAATAGTACAGAGCTGAGTAAAGGCTGAATGGTTACCAACTCAGAAGCATTAAACCTGGCAGTTATCTTAGTTATGCATTTAAAGTGACTTTGAGTGGGTTCATGGCAACTTCAACTAATAAAATTAAACTTCCATCCTTCAGAAAGGTATTTGCTCTTCCTGGTGCTTAACGATCAGGGGTCAATGTGAAGATGATCCGATCTATACAGGAAGTATTATTAGATGCATTTAAAAAAACAAGAGTTTAGCATTTCAGCCTGAGGTTTGCATTAAAATAGCAATGCCTAAGTAGCAACTGTGCAGCTATGTTGTAGGAAGAAATCAATTGCAAAGATTAAATGAGTTCCTTCTTCTGGGCTATAGAGGAGTGAATATGATAAATCTTATACACACTTTTATCTCCTTTAAGCCCAGGAAAAGCAATCACCTCACAGTGAATGTACTATGGCATTTGGAGATTATCTAATCTTGCTGCACATAAGAAACTGGAGCTAAAACAAAGCAAATCTTTTGTGTAGAAAGGATGGACAACATCAGTAAGGCAACACCCAGACATCTTTGTCTCCATTTTAAGAATGAGGGAACAAATGGCTTTGAAGTCCCTCAAGTCTGAGGATCAATACGCATGGTTAGGGACTAAATAATACTTTTAAAGTATTATTTTGGTATCTTTTTAAAAAAGAAACTACGCTACTATTAGCCTAGCAGTTCATATCTGCCCAGTGCCATAAATCACAGTTTACATTGCTTCAAACTACCAGCTGCCACCCAAAGATACATCCAACTTTCCCAGTCTACTTCCTCCTATGCCTTCAGTTCTGTAGGATAGCTGCTGAGTGGCTACAAAGTGCAGGAGAAGAGACTGAGAAGGAATTCACTCTCAATTATGTAGATGTCATCTACAGTACAGATCCTTCTACTCAATATTGATGTTTATACGTGTTGAATTAGTATACCCTGAGAAAGCAGAGGAGAAACCACCGTGCATAAATTACTGCAGTGACATGAAAAAGAAAGGGGTTTGTAATAGTCTTAGTACTCAGCATTTGTTAAATTATTTCTTCTGCTCTGTCATAGCTGGAAGAATCACAATAATGACCTGTCTGAAATCTCAGGAGTATACAAGAATAGGGGAGAACTATTTCTGTTTACAAAAGATAGAGTTGAATTTCTGTAAGCTCCATGAAATGTGACAGAAGC